GAGTCAGCGCCAGCGGCAGACCAATGTGCGTTGATAACCCAGATGTGGGAACGACAGTCACCACGGTCCGGAGGAGGTTACCCCTCTGCGGAGAGGTTCCCATGAGAGCGCACTGGACCCGCGAGCCGCAGGCGTCGTTGCCGGATGCGAACGACTTCCTGGACCCGGCCGACGGCAACGATTACCAGGGGAACAAGAAAGCCGCCTCCACTGCCGGCGGGGTGATCACCTCCCAGGACAGGCGTTCCAGTGGCCCAGGTGGTCCGCCGGCCATGCCCGCCACTGCGCAAGCAGGGTTGGTGGAGGATCCAGTGCGGAGGACAGCCAGACCGTGCAACGTCGCAGAACCCGCCCGGTGTTTCGAGGCGACCGCCGGCGGGGGGCCTACGTGGAACTGGATCAGGATGTGGGCAGCGACATTCACACTGCAAAACAGGTCCCGCCAGGGCCGGCCCCATGGGCATGGTTTCTGTCTGGAAGGCTTGCACCACCCCGTCGAGAAGCAGACGACGGGGCCACTTGGCGGAATGAACAGTCCCGGGTCCCTGATGGGAGGCCAGCATCACCTCCTCGACCGTTTGGGGGGGGTCCAGGGTACGGGAAAGCCTGCCCAGCGGCGGACGAGGTCATTGTTCTGCCGAGCCCGCGATCCTTGTGGGCCGGTTTTCCTCCGGACGACAACGATTGCGTGGTAGGCTGTTGGTCACTATGGCAAAGGTAACCATGACCCTCACATGGTGGAACGACATGACCACCACAGGGCAGTTTATCAGGAGGCGAAGGCCCATCTCAGCGCGAGATACTCGGGACCGGACCTCGGCATGAGGTGATCATCAGCGACGGGGACGTCCCTTGCGGCCCGGATAACTGCGTGGAGGAGGATGGAAAAAAGGGTGGAAGGAAGGACAGGAGGTGGAGGGAAAAAGGATGGCAGGGGGGGGCATGGGGAGGGAAGGAAGGAGAGCGACTGCAAGGAGGGGGGGGGGGGGGGGCCGATGAAAAAAAAGAAAGACCCTCCCTGGCCACGCTGAGGGGTGCTCTCTCCCAACTGCCCGACGCCGGCTACCAGGACTTCTTGGACATCAAGGGCATCTGGGAGACCGGGGAGCGGTTGCCCGACGGGGAGTCGGGGACACGCCGGGACAAGGGTGGTTAGCCGGAGCCGGTTCGTTGCCGACACCCATGCCCTCTGGTGGTATTTCCGGTCCCCGGAGCGCCTGAGCGTCGCCGCCAGCGCCGTCTTCCAGCTGGCGGAGACCGGCAACGCCACGGTGGTGGTTCCCGCCATCGTGGTGGCCGAGTTCTACTACCTGTCGGCCAAGCTGGGCAGTCCCCTGGAACCGTCGGCATTGCTGGAGGCGCTGGACTCGGTGAGCGGGATAGAACTGTCCGAGTTGGGCCGGGCACAGCTGGAGAGGCTGGACCGGTTTCCCGAGGTTTCGGAGATGCATGACCGGCTGATCGCCGCGGAGTCTGACGCGCTGGGCGCAGCGGTGGTGACCCGGGACGAGGCGCTGGCGCGCAGGTGACCCGTGTGCCCACGCTGTCTCGGGTAGCTGCCGCCGCGCCCGCCGTGACCCTGACCATTGCACGCGACAGCATGAACATTCACGACGAGATCAACAATCCCCGGCCAGGAGGCCCGCCACGGCGAGGTGCCCGCCTGGCTGGCCGACAGCCCGGTCTGGCCCGCGGTGAAGCCCAGACGGGCGGTGGCCAGCTCTTCCTGCACCAGGCCACGGGGCTGGAGCTGTTGGGCTACGGCCACAACCTGGTGATCAGCACCGGCACCGCCAGCGGCAAGTCCCTGGTCTTCCAGGCCCCCACCCTGCACCACCTGGCCACCCACCCGAATGCACGGCCATCGCCATCTACCCCATCAAGGCCCTGGCCCGGGACCAGGTCATCCGCTGGCGGAACATGGCGGAGGCCGCCGGTCTGGACCCCGCCGCCATCAACCGGATAGACGGCGACGTGCGCGACCTGACCGAGCGGCGGCAGATACTGCAGCGCACCCGGCTGGCCCTGATGACCCCCGACGTGATCCAGCAGTGGCTGATGGCCTACTCGGAGCCCCTCTACGACAAACGGCCGCTGCGCCACGACCTCAGGGAGGTGCAGAACACCCAGTACAACGTGCGCCGCTTCCTGTCCAACCTGGCATACCTCATCCTGGACGAGGCCCACACCTACGGACGGAGCGCTGGCACCCACTGCTCTACTTGGTGCAGCGGCTGCAGCAGAACGCGCGGGAGCTGATGTCCCGGTTCGAGCCCCTGCGGGTCATCGCGGCCAGCGCCACCATTCCACAACCCGGCCCAGCACCTGGAGACCCTCACCGGCCTGCCCTTCCAGGTGGTGGACGACCGGTACGACGGCAGTCCCCGGGCGGAGCTGACCGTGCAGCACGCCGTCGGCCGCGCGCCCCACGACGAGGGCTGGCGGGACCTGCAGGACGCGGTGCGGGAGGTGATCAGCGACGACCCGGAGCGGTCGTACATCGCCTTCGTGGACGACCGGCAGCTGGCGGAACGGGCTGCGGCGGGCATCGAGGCCGCCCGCAGCATCACGGAGGACGCCATCATCGTGGAGTCCCGGGACGCCATGGCCTACCGTTCGGGTGCTCATGCGCCGGGAGCGCATCGAGGAGGCGCTGCGGGCCGGTGAGATCCGGGGCATCGCCAGCACCAGCGCCATGGAGCTGGGCATCGACATACCCGACCTGCAGGTGGGCTTCAACCTGGGGTTGCCCCACTCGGTGGGACGCCTCAAGCAGCGGGCCGGACGGGTGGGACGGAGCAGCCCCGGGGCGGTTCATTGTCATGGCGCCGCGCCACGCCTTCCAGTTCCACGATGACAGCCTGGAGACCTACTGGCGACAGCCGGTGGAGCCGGCCCGGCTCTATCCCTCCATCCCAACATCAAGAACACCCACGGCCGCTGCCTGGCCAGGGAGACGGACCTGAACGGCATGGAGCGCGCCATACCGTCGCCCACGGATGCCTGGCCGGAGCAGTTGCCCCAGACGCTGCGTGAGATCGCCCGGGCGACCACTACGCGCCGGAGTTCCAGACCGGAGATCCCAGCAACCGCACCGCAACGACATCCGGGACGCCGCCGACGGGCGGGCGCGCATCGTGCAGATTCTACCGGAGGGGGAGACGGAGCTCCTGACCAGCGAGGTTACCCGCCGGGAGGCGGCCCGCGACGCCTACCCCCTGGCCACCTACTACCACGCCAAGCAGTCCTATTCCATCCTGGGCTGGCGGGAGACCCGCGGGCGAGACGGTGATCACGGCGCGCCACGCTCCCCAGCGGGAGACCCGGCCCATCACCCGCAGCGGCGCCACCCTCACGCTGCAGCAGCCCCGCGTATCCGCGCTGGGCCACCTGGAATACTGCACCCATGCCCAGGCGGTGGCCTGGGAACGGATCGTCGGCTGCGCCGTGCGCGAACCGGGCGGCGGCGAATGGCGGGAGGTTCACTACGACGGGGAGGGCATCCCCGAGGTGATGACCAGCCTGCGCACCACGGCCACCCTGATCATTGTCTGGGAGGACTGGTTCGACGATGCCAACACGCGGCGGGACGTGGCCCGGGCCCTCCGGACGGTGATGTGCGGTCGTGAATCGATACACCCCGCGGACATACGGACCACGCACCAGAACGTCCAGGTGGTGCGGGACGGGCGCAGCAGCGAGGTGAGCCGGGCCATCGTCATATGGGACAGGGTGGGCGGCGGCCTGGGCCTCTCGAAGGCGGTGGCCGACAACCTGGGCCGCTACACCCAGTCCCTGCTGGAGATCGCCCGGCAGCCGGGCCAGCGTTCGGAGCAGGAACGGCTGCTCCGGGAGGATACCGCCGCGGCGCTGCACCGGTGGGCCACCAGCATGGCTCCCCACACCCTGGGTCCCGAGAACACCCCCGTCATCACCGAGTACTCCGGTACGACCTTCCGCAGCCAGCTGGAGGCCCGGTGGGCGGCATATTTCGACCAGCACGGGATTGCCTGGCAGTACGAGCCGGTCCGGCTGAGCGGCTGGACCCCCGACTTCCGGCTCGTGTTGGACGGTGCCGAGGCCTACGCCGAGGTCAAGCCGGTGAGCGAGTTTCCCATGGACGTGGCCCAAAGGGTGCTGAATGCAGGCTGGACGGGCGACATCCTCATCCTGGGCCTGGAGCCGCGCCACGCCTGGCGCCACCGGGGCGACGGATGGACCCCAGTGGACCTGGCCGCATGAAAACCGCCGTTCCGTGCGGGTGGCCGGCGCGTCCCCCCCGCGTGTCCCGTCCACGAATCGCGCACAGCGACGAGCAGCTCGTCCGGGGAATGGCTGACTGGTAAGAATCTGGTTGGGACAGTTCGACGGCAACCATCCCTGACCGGTGCGGATACGTAAACGTTTGCAGTGGCTGGAATATGCCGGACGCCCGCACTCGGCATGAGCGGGGATATGCTGTCCCCTGAGGCGGCGGCCAGCGCCAACCTGATCAGCATGACCACGGCCCCGGCAGTGGGAGAGAGAAGCTGGCCATCCCTCGAGCTTCACCTGACCACGCCTGAATTCTCCCGGGAGTTCCCCGCCGGCGCGGGTGAACTAAATGATCCTGTCTCCCCGCCCTGGCGTGGACTGGCTCTCCGGCTCACCCGCCGTCCCGGGCAGCGGAGTCAACAGTACTCGCCAACGGGGATTTTCCTTGGACGCCTCGACCCAGGAGTTCTCCCAGAGGGACATCGATGTCGATATCGTCGAATTCGAAGTTGAAGGCGGCCTTCACGTGGGCGGGGCAGACGAGGCCCGCTGTAGCGTTGTTCGCGCGTCCCTCCTGCCTCAGTCCTTCGCGTTCGGCGAGGGACATCTTGATCCGGCGGTGGCAGCCGGGAATGGCGCATTTGACCGGGACTTTGCTGGGCATTCCCCCAATATTACAACGACAGCTCAAGGAAGAGGGTTTCGGTCATGCGCGCAGGGTGAGGGACTGGCGTGGCGTCATGTTCAAGACGCTGGTCTACGCCGCATCTGCTGAACCTGCGTCGGAACGGAGCAAGAAGCTGGAATTGGCCTTGGTAGGGGTGGGAAATAGAGGCTGGATTTTGGCACCATTTTGTGGTGCCGCAACTTAATACTGCAGTCGCAGATAGAGGGTGAGGCGGCGTTTGTAATGGCAGAGGCGGGCGCTGACTTGATGAGGCACCGATCAGGACAGATGCGTTCATTCAGTGGATCCCGGTCCTGGACAACACCTGGACCATTGGGAGTGTGCTGAAGGTCGAGCTGTTGCGGCCGCAGTCCACCACCCCGCCTCCCGGCGGGTGAGCAGACTCAGGCATTGGCCTCCTCCATCTCTATCTTGCGGCGTGCTACCGACAGGTCGTAGCTGGCCTGTCGGCGCATCCAAAATTCAGCGGTGCTCCAGCCGATGCGTTCCAATGCCAGGGCCACGGCGGGCGATATGCCGCAACGCCCGTTCAGCAGGCGCGAAGCTACGTTGCGACTGACGCCTAGGCGTTCGGCGAATTCGTTGACGCTCCAGCCGGTGGCGTCCAGGCTATCCCGGAGGCTGACGCCGGGATGCGTTCGGATACGTTCAGACATGGCCTTCCCCCTAGTAGTACGAAATCTTTGAACTGATGAGTGGACAATATTGGCCGGAGCACCCGGCGATACTCTGCCGATGGTGCTCTTCGAAAAGACCGATACTCTTCAAGTCATCATATCAAAGCAGTTGGGCCACTAGTGATAGTCCTCAAGGTTCACATCCACGGCTTCCCCGTCCTCGAACCGGAAGGTCAGCCGCCAGTTGCCGGACACCCGCACGGCCCAGGTCCCCCGGCGGTTGCCGGTCAGCGGGTGCAGCTGCAAGCCCGGCAGGTCCATTTCCGCCGGATTGCTGGCGTCGGCAAGGTCGTCAAGCAGGCGCTCGACGCGGGCGATGTGGGCGGGATTCAAGCGACTGGCGTCGCCCCTTTCCCAGAATCTCCGTAGTCCGGCGTGCCCGAATCTCATGCCCACATTGTGCCGTATAGCGGTGCATCTCACAACGTGGAGCCGATGCTCAACCTTCGCCGGTCTGGATCGAAGCCAGCCTTGCGACTTCCCAGCGCGGCCAGGGGTTACCAACTGCTCACAAATTGGTGGGTTTCAGTATGCGATGGTAGTTAATGGTCAAGCAGA